TACTCATGGGGCTAGAAAATTCACAAAATTTGGGCTTATTTAAATAACTCAAGAAGGTTGGAATGAAGATAATGCGATTACGAGAATTTTCCGAGTGAATGCGATTGACAACGAGTAATAAATTAATCCGGATTATCTATATTTATAATACACACAATATTTTAAAATAATAATATTAATACTAAAATATGCATTTAGACAAATAGTTACAATTTGGCAAATAATAATATTTAGATAATTAATATTAATAATAGCAATTTGACAGTTAATAACATTATTATAATAATGAATATAATAATAATAATAATAATAATAAAGACAATTTAATAATAGCAATAATCAATAATTACTCCCAAATAATCCACAATAAAACGGGGTATTACACAAACATGGAGATTACCCTTGTGGGGTACGTTCTATAGCTACGGGGATAACCGTTCGACGGCCGGTACAACTCACATCGAAGGTTACATGCTCACATGCATACATTGATCATACCCACATAAATAAAGCAATTATCATTCAAGGCATAGACAAATTTTGAATAACCCACCTGGTAACTGAGATATAGCCAAACACAGGGTTGAAGGAACAATGGCAAAAGTTCAGCTCGATGAACCTACAACAATTATAATAGCCTATCAAGTGACTATCCAATCCAAGACAACACACAAAGCACATATACTTAGTCGAAATCATATCGACTAAGTGACTCGTGGATTCATTGACCGAGTTAAGTACTTTGGAGCGACTACTAGACTTAAACACAACATATATACCTCAGGTAAAACACATAAATTATGCCAACATCAATAAAATCCAATCCGAACCTAAACAACGGATAACCGAGCATTAAGACTACAAAATAAATAAAATTCAGAATCCGGAGTTAGACTCAACCAATCAACCTGAAACTTTACCACATCACAAGGCATAAAAAAACACATAATCTCACCAAGTTTCAGCCCTAAATTCATCTGAAAGCATTATTAAATAATTTAAGCAAAAATAGTGTCAAAACCCGACATTAATAGTTCATATAGTTACACTTCGAATTTTAATCCAAACTTTTGGCACAACACAGATTACCACAAAATAAAATACTCCTCAAAGTTTCAGCTCAAAACACTTAGTGTACGATTTTAAATGAATTTTATAAAATTCTAACCAGAAACCGATTCAATTAATTAAAATAGCTACAGATGGAGTTTCGACTTGAAACTTTTGCACGACTTACAAAATCATCACAGGACATTACATATAAAATTTCATGGCCTTCGGACTATCACAAGATTTATCATGAATTAATTACGATTCAGCAGCATGCTCGGTTTAGAAAATTCATAATTCGACATATACACATCGAAACGACCCCAAACCAAAACCAATAACTCGAGGAAAACTCCAAGTACCTATAACTCCAGGATTTCCACGGAAAATACTACTCGAAACTCAGTTCTACAATAAACCAAAGTGACGGCAATCACTTTGATACCCAAATCGAATATAAACTCAATATATGGCTCAATAAAACATCCAAGGCACGTAATTGATTCGTATTTTCACACGTTCAGCAACTTAGCACATATTATAACACATAACACAAATTATGACATCAAACGAATCGGGGTTCGAGTCTAAGTACTGTTCTCGGGAAAGACTCGGAGAAACGGGACGTAGGACACGAACGGGGTTGAAATGGCTTCACGAATGCACCGACGGGCTCGACGGCTAAGCTTCGGCTCACTCTAGAGTTGTGTGGGTGATCAGCGGGGGTTGGGCAGCGATGAACAGGTCCCGACAACGATGGGCATCAAGGGAAGACGCACGACAATGCATGAACAGCGGGAACAGAGTTCGGCTCGCGGGGCGTGCGTGTACGTAGTCTTGCGTGGCTTTCCCGGCTCACTAGGGATGCCGGAAAACAATTGCGGAGGTACCGCTGGACAGCAAGAACTTGTTGGTGGTGCTTGTTGTAAGTATTTTTACCAGAGTAGAATCAAAAGATTCATTCCCCGGGTCGTATCGCAAGGAAGGTTAGCCGGATTCAATTGCACGATTATTCGATCACGAAAAAGAAAAGAAAAAATTCCTAAACACTCTATTCAATATTTTTGGAGTTTTAATTATCAGCTAAAGATTTAAACTAATGCAAACGAATTAAATAGCAAGTGAATAAACTCAAATGATTAAAGAGCTAGGGAATCGGGGATAATTGCTTCGGTTCTACCACAGCTACCGGCAATCAACTGCTCGGTTTAAGGACCTGAATTGCTTCTCGTTCAGAGGTTCACTCTCAATACAGTTACGAACAAGAGAGTGGATGTAAACGATTAACTATCAGTTCCTGCAACGCATAGACAATACAGTTACGAACAAGTCTACTCTAAACAAGCCTATATCGACCAACATCTCCCCTCTCGGTTCCACACGTTGATTAGTTAGGTTAAACAGGTGATCAATCTATTAACCCTAGAATAAGCATAACTTGAATAGATATGAACAATCAAGAACTAGCAATTATTATCGAACCTAATCAATCATCCCCTATCCCTAGCGTATGAATTTAGCTACTCATGTGGAATTGAACAAGAACAATCAAATTAACCCAAGCCATCATCATCAACTCAACAATTGAAGAAAATAAGAACTTACGATTAAAATAGAGAATCCCAATGTTAAAATCCACAAGCATCCAAATCCAAAGTGGTAAATAGGAGTTTTCTAATATCCAATACGAATCAAAAGCGTCCAAGTAATGAACGGAGTGAGTTTTCTAGAGAGAATAATGTAAAAACAAGGTCTGGAAGGTGAATAATGAAGTCTAGGTCGAAAATCTGATGTTAAAATCCCGACCTCGAAATTCGCGCCGAGGAAGTCGCGAGTCGCGACCTAAGTCGCGAGTCGCGACTTACCAAAAATCCATCTCGCGAGTCGCGAAATCTCGCGAGTCGCGCGTCGGCAAAAATATGTAAAATCTGGGGAAAATCGCGAGTCGACTCGCGAGTCGCGACTTGTCTCGCGAGTCGCGACATGGACACGCGAGTCGCGACTCGTGTCTCAAAAAAAACGCCTCGATGCTCTCAAAACCTCGCGAGTAGCGACATTGACTCGCGAGTCGCGACTTCCTGGCAACAAATCTGGTTCTTCCTCTGAAAATCTCGCGAGTCGCGATTGACTCGCGAGTCGCGACTTCAGTCGCGAGTCGCGACACGACTCGCGAGTCGCGAGAAAAACTGGCCTTCTGTTACGATCGTTTTTCTGGTCCTTCTTTCAGCTTCCCAGTTTTGGTAACTTGGTGTCCTGGATATCACGGTCTCGGCCCCAATAGTCTATCCCTCAATCATCACATCCTAATTCCTGAAAACACGAACACAAGGGAAACACGAAGCAAAGACAACAAAAATACGCAAAAACGAAACAAAAGACAGAGAACACAAAGAACACAGAGTTGGACCAAATAAACTACGAAAATCTTATAAGAAGGGGAAAATAAAGAGAAAATAAACCCAAAATAATGACACAAAATTGGGACAAACAACTCCCCCACACTAAAACCTTTGTTCGTCCCGAACATAAAGAAAAGAAAAGAAAAGAAAACAAATAAATGAACAAGGGCAATGATTCAGGTAAGACCAATCTCAAACATATCAATTAAACCGAGAAGAATTCCAATGATCACAAGAACACACCTCAATAATCAACTTAATCATTTTGAAGAACAAGTCTCTCAAGAACAAGTATATACATATATGCCTCACTCAGTTTCTTCGCAACATATAAGAGAGGTGCACTCAAATTGGTCATCAGTCAAGTCGATCATAGATTTGCCTATCGTCTAACTTCTACTCTAAAACAATCAAATTTATAAAACAATGAATCAAGAGGTCTTTAAGGGTTGTAACGTAGGCTCTTTGGACAGGGTAGGAAACATATTAACTAAGTGGCTCAAAATAAATCAACTCAACTCTGCACCCAACCATATCAACAAACACCTCCAATTGTCACCAACCGGCTCCTCCACTAACTCCAAGACCATGATACATCCCAAGCACTTTATTTTATTTTTTTTTTTTGCGAAAAC